ATTGCCTAGATGATTGGTGGGGGGAGATTAGCGAAACTTCCCCCACCTTTTTTTTTTCAAAAAATGTCAAAAATGTGTTATTTATTGATTGGTTGCTAGATCGTCACTTTCCTCACCATTGCCTAGATGATTGGTGGGGGAAAAAGGTGGGGGGAGATTCGCGAAACTTCTCCCACCTTTTTTTTGTTTCCGAAAAATGTCAAAAAATGTCTCATCCCTTGATTGGTTGGTTGGTAGATCATCTCTTTCCCCACCATTGGCTAGATGATTGGTGGGGAAATGAGGTGGGGGGAGATTGGCGAAACTCCCCCCACCTTTTTTTTTTGGAAAAAATGTCAAAAAAGGTCTCATCCCTTGATTGGTTAGTAGATCGTCACTTTCCCCACCATAGGCTAGATGATTGGTGGGGGAATAAGATAAGGGAAATTCGCGAATCTCCCCCCATTTTGTTTTTTCGAAAAATGTTAAAAATGTGTGATTTTTTGATTAGTTGGTGGATCTTCACTTTCCCCACCATTGGCTAGTTCATTGGTGGGCGAAAAAGGGGGGGGGAGATTCGCGAAACTCCCGCCACCTTCGTTTTTCGAAAAATGTCAAAAAAAGTCTCATCCCTTGATTGGTTGGTAGATCCTCACTTTCCCCACCATTGGCTTGATGATTGGTGGGGAAATGAAGTGGGGGGAGATTGGCGAAACTCCCCCCACCTTTTTTTTTTCGAAAAATGTGAAAACAGGTCTCATCCCTTGATTGGTTGGTAGATCATCAATTTCCCCACCATAGGGTAGATGATTGGTGGGGAAATAAGGTGGGGGGAGATTCGCGAAACTCCCCCCACCTTTTTTTTTCGAAAAATATAAAAAAAGGTCTCATCCCTTGATTGGTTGGTAGATCGTCACTTTCCCTACCATAGGGTAGATGATTGGTGGGAAAATAATGTGGGGGGAGATTCGCGTCTCGGAACGCCGTACCCCCGCTCCCTCCCCCAGCCAATGATTGATGGGGGTACGGCATTTTCGGAACGCCGTACCCCCTCTGGTTGTCGGCGGGGAAGGTAGCGGGGGTACGGCGTTCTCGGAACGCCGTACCCCCGCTCCCTCCCCCGCCGAGAACCGGAGGGGGTACGACATTTTGAAAACGCCGTACCCCCCCTCCGGTTGTCGGCGAGGGAGGGAGCGGGGGTACGACGTTCTCGGAACGCCGTACCCCCGCTCCTTTCGCTTCCTGGGAACCGGAGGGGGGGTATGACGTTCTCGAAACATCGTACCCCCGCTCCCTCCACCGCCGAGAACCGGAGGGGGTACAGCATTTTGAAAACGCTGTACCCCCCCTTCGGTTGTCGGTGGGGGAGGGAGAGGGGGTACGACGTTCTCGTAACGCCGTCCCCCCGCTCCTTTCGCTTCCCGGGAACCGGAGGGGGTCTGGAGATTCGAGAACGCCGTACGCCTTCCGGTTCGCGGTGGGGGGGAGGGAGCGGGGGTGCGGCGTTATCGTAACATAGCCGTACCCCATCGGCCCTGTATGTGGACAGAGCCGAAGGGGTACGGCATTTTGAAAACGCCGTACCCCCGCCGGTTCGCGGTGGGGGGGAAGGGAGCGGGGGTGCGATGTTCTCGAAACGCCGTACCCCTGCTCGTTTTGCCTTGAGGCAATCGGAGGGGTTGCGGCGTCTTCAAAACGTGATGCGATAGTGAAAGGTTTGATATYTGAACGCGATCCATTCTTCTGTTCGGAATGTGCCAACCATCAGGAGGAGCATCTGCTGTCYCGGAAAAGAGAGTCTATAAGACCTGCTCAATGTATAGAGATAGCGACTGGGCCCTTGATTGAGTGGGGGGCCTACACGAGGCGGGATGTGGAGCCGCTGTGTTTCTGAAGACCGCCACGGGCGACGACTGGTTCTATGTTGGAGGGATTATTAAATCCGAGGATGAGAGGGCGGACGGGCATGCACAGAAGTTCAGGAGTTTTTTCCTCACAACGGTCTACGACGAACAGGGAGTGGACCATGCGAAGGTCGACCATAAAGTCAGCGTTGATTACAATTTGTTCAAGGGGTATGGAGGTAAGGCGATTACCATGAAAGCCTTCGATGTCTCCCCGAAAGAAGACGGGAGTGTGTTGACGATGCTTGGCCCTGTGAAATTTCTCGCCAAAACAAACGGGTACAGGAGATCCGGAAACAGTCCCACGGTACAGGCCGGGCATCGTATGTCTTCGACACTCGTGCCTTTTGACACGTCGGACGAGGATCTCCCCGGCATAGCAAAGAGAGAGAGACAGAGGACTCCACATTGTTTTCCAACGCAGCAGACGTCAGCGGGTGGAAGCCGGCGCCGCAACAAATGGACCCAGCCGCGTCATCAGCCTGACGAAGGGGCTCGTGGTCCTCCTGTGGAATCGACCCACCAGAGGGAATGTGCAGAACCGTCTCCGCCGTCCACCCGGCAAGACGAAGGCACCCCTGTCATTACATACAGAAGGAAGGGTTTGACGACTGGTCCGTCTGCTGCCCGCCAGAAAGACTATGGTGGTGCGTCCGGGAGGGCGGCCCTACGGGAGGTAAGCGAAGGATCGAACAAGGAAACGGAGGATGATCTTCGGATTCGTGTTGATCGGCATCCGCAGGGTAATCATGCCCTGGACGATGAGGAATGTGGGGTCGAAGAGGACGATGTCGAAGAGGAGAAAAGGGAGAGAGAGAGAGAGGGAGAGGGTAGTGAGGAATCTATGCACGACTGCGAGGATGGGGAGTCTCGACAGTACGACGAGGGGGACTATGGGGGCGATGGAGAAAACGATGATGCCTATCCTGGCGATGACGAGGATAGAGGGCAAGAAGGGTCGGCTGATGTGGAGGTCGATGAGGGAACAGGAGATCGGTCGGAGGGCAGTGTGCACAAAAGGAAGCGGCGATCTTCAATAAGTCCAACGGCGACGGCGGATAAACGCGCTGCGAAAAGACTCACTGTTGCTGCATCTCGAGAGGCACTCAGAGCTTCTCAAGAGGTGGTCGCTGAAAACGTGAAGAACCGCAAAGGGAAGGCGTCAACCAGGACAACAAAAGCGGAGAAACGTCCACTGAAAAGAAAGCAGATGGTCGATGAGGGTGACTCCGGAGAGGACGCCGAAGGGGTTGCTCCAAGGGCTCCATCGGAACAGACAACCTTCCGCCGACACCCGTTATGACGCCATCGACACAACACGCTGCTTCTTCTTGGAGTTCGATGAGGATGGGTTTGCGAAGAAGAATCGGGAACATATTCAAGTGGATGTAACGAAGATCTTGCCAATTCCTGAAGGTGACATCCTCTTCAACCATAGAACATTGGACGAAACGTTGGTGCAGTCCATATATGATGCGATCCATTATGCGGCTAAGGAAACCAATGGGAAGTGGGATATCATGACTTTCATCCTGGCTCCCATTGTACCGAACGGGGATGACTCTCAAGGCAGACGGATCACACCGAAGGAGTTCGACGTCGCACTGGCTCATACATACCACTTGTATGTTGTTGCTGGTCAGCACACGGCTGAGGCAATGAACACACTCATTAAGGACAAGTCATCGGCCGAGAAAGTGTACGGCTTGAGGTCGTACTCTCACGTACGCGTTGTCTACTTTGACGACTACAAAAAGAGAGGATATCCGTACGTCTCGACATTCGACAACACGAGGGAGGAGCGTTCCATTCCGAGATCGTTTTCGTCGTCTGTGCGGCAAATCAGAAGATTTTGGGATAAGAGGAATGACCGGATCCGTCCTCCGGGCACCGTGTCCCCGAATGACGTCGAGGGAATAGAACGGAAAAAGAAGTGGGAAGCATTCATGAACGCCGCCTGCAAAATGACACCTGATTCCGGTCTCATGAACTCATCCCTCGAGAACGACTACTGCAAGGACTGGACGAACAAGATGCGCGGATACATGAATCTTGCGCAGTGCAGCGAGACGGTATGGTCACTGGTAGACAAATTCTTTGGCATGTACGAGAAAGGACTATTGCCAAGAATCGACGGTGTGAGATACGTCGATCTGCCAGGGAAAGTGGAAGGGAGGCTGCCTGGGCAATACTTCCTCAAGGACAACTCCAACAAAAAAGTCTTGTACCATTGCATCAAGGTCAGAAAGGGGCCGCAAGGCGCAACGGTGTCTATACCGGACTTGACGCCCTCAATCTTTAAGTTGTTTGGCGATATGACAGCAAGAGAGAAGCAAGTGGCACTGCACCACATGATGCGTGGTGATGTCATCGTAACATCACGTACGGTACCTCGTGGTAGATGCAACATAGCGGACGTGGTAAAATATACTCGGCGTGAGAGATATGTGGTCCGTATGTTCAACTACATATTGTTCAAGGTCGAGGGGAGGTCAAAGGAAGAGTGGAACGCTGACTTCTTCATCGGTTATACGACCATCTTGGAAAGGTACAACAAAAACGGCCTCACTGACGAGAAATGGACCGAGGAACGCGACCGCATCCCTGACGACAAGGCGAGGAAGGTGCCGAGGCGTTTGGGCGGTCCTGATGAGATTCATGGCGGGAACGGTGCGGGGCTGGAGGCTACCCAAGCCATGTACAAGGAAACCCCGTTCCACCTCAAGTGTTTCATCTACGAGGTGATCGATTGCTTGGACGACTTGAGAGCGGAGGTTAATCGGATATCCTCCAATGCTCGTCACATCTTTTGGGAAGTGGGGAAAAATATTACCAYGATCCTGCCATATGAAATCGAACCGAAGGGGGTGCTCATCGACAACGAGGAGGTTGTTGGTACAGCGAGGGGGATGAAGATACGGGCAATCATTCTCGATATGTCAACATCACAAAAATGTGTTCCGTGGGATGATGACGCATTCTCCGAATTGCACGCTTTCCTCACGGTATGCTGTGGCGAAAACTGGGCCTTGATCATTTTCGCGCCGATGAAGCACCAGAAACAGGTGATGCAAAGTGTGTACAAGTGAGACGATGTTGAGGTGCTCACTAGGTCATGGTATAGACACTACACACCTTCGACAACCGTGAACAAGTACGTCAACATTGCAGTTCGGTACATTGATATGATGGTTATTGTCCTCCACGCCGAGAACGGCAATTTGAACAATATAACGGTTGCGCCGAAATTGCGAGCCGAATTGACAAATTTTAACATTGAAGAGAGTGAGTTTGTGAGGTGCTCAGGGGAGTGTATCGGCGTGGAGGGCGACACTGATGCGGTTTATTCTTGGATGGAACGAGAGCCTGCACGTCTCCGAAAGCTATGCAGCTCATTCATCAGGGAGGATGACGGTGTGATGTTGCTGGATGGCGCATGCGGGACTGATTTGGGAACTGGCTCGCGACTGACACCACGTGTTTGCATGTGACAACACGACAAAAGAGCTCACATACCTTTCCAAGTTTTTGGACTTCTATGTGAAGGATCCGAGGAACAGATGCAGGTTCGAAAAGCCCCAAGTCGAGCACCGCAAGRACCRGGACATATACTATAAGCTCGGTAGAAAGAGGGRGAAAGTGTGGGCTTACTTGTTCGGTGACGCTCCACAGTCGGCGGTTGATAACRAYTACGTCATCAGGAAAAGCGAACTCGAGATAGCAATGAACGAGTACCACGGCTCGCACATGGGTGCTTTCCACATGTTTGTRGCACGTTGTGAGYATCTGTATTTCAATATGAAGAAAAGAGCACTGTCAGGCCGGGACTATGCAKACTTGGCMCGTAAAGCCGGMAACTTCAACAACATCGATTGCGACGAAGACACGTCAGACTCCGACCTTGACGTCCCGTCGYGCRAGGCACGAGGTGCGGTGGAGGGAGCGMGTGGCGAGGAGCCRCAAGGGAGCACCAACGGACCTGCGGAGAAGKCGAGTTCGAGTATGGGAGCAACACGTGYGAGTGAGRGAAATGTGGAAACAAGAATGACTGGAAGGGGAGAAAGGAATGGTGTAGCAACTAACCCSKTGGGTGCGAGTGAGGGGATAGTTAACTCAYAKGGCAACASAGGGGGAGGAGAGAATGGGTGTGCAATGGCCCCGCCGACAGCTGGGCCATCACCGACACATGCACCRCAGRCCGAGCAACGAACACTCACGTCCATGGACACCGATGAAGACGAAGAGTTGGATATGACAACACTCACGCCGAAGCTCGTGCCAGGAAGACCGTTGCCTCAAGGCTTTGCCCCAGACCCTTCAGTGCCATACTTGCTGCAGGACAAGTACAAAGAGTCATCGGATGAGGATTGGGGTYATCATATTCTCTGGCATGAGGGTGTGTTCGAACCGTGTGTGTTTGCAGGYCAGTGGCAGATGGCTGTGAAGACAAGAGACCGAGGGTGGGTCGCGAAGGAAAAAGAGGACGCTGCGATATGGCACAACATGACGGAAACGCAAATTTATCAGCGAGTTTTGAAAGAAAACGCCGGTGCAAGCGAGGAAGCTATAGCGGCAAAGGCGAAAGCTTTGTTCGAGCATCTGCGTGCGAACAAAAAGCTAGAATTCAGCACAAAGTTTTACGACCTTGCATCAAGTGTATTGTACGGGTCCATCAATTGGAAAATCGAACTGCCTTCAGCATTACAAGGAATCGATAGCATCAACTCTCTGAAGACTCAGAACGTTATCGCATCTAACACCATCATTGCGATTGCCAGAGGGGATTCAGCCTGCGAAACGGACACGCGTGCGAACACAGGTCACGTGCAGGATGAACAGCAGCGACTATGTGCTCAACAAAGCACTCCGAGAAGCGCAATGGGGGATTCCACAATGATACGCAAGGACGGCGAYGACATGGAGTCGGGCGCATTGGCAGAGCAGCCAACAGGGGGGGTCAACGATCGGACAACAAACGTTCGATCTTTCGGGTCTCTTGTARTGACAATCGCGGCGAGGCAAGGCGTATCTGAGATGATGGAAACCGATGCTGGCCAGGATGATAAAAGCCAGGCGGTGAAGGTGCCACAAGAGGAGGTGGCAGCAACAACAGAGCAGACAACGAAAGGTGAGGGATCCCGCGAACACATTTCCATAATACATATGACATCGAAGAGTACGGGCGAGGATATGATCCAAGAGAAGGAACAGAAAGATGACAACAATGCGCCAAGAGTTGAAGGTGACCATGAAAAGGATGTGTAACAACTGAGACGGTCGACGAGGCAAGTGATTAAAAAAGTTGTGGTGGATGCGTAGACATTGCTTAGATGGTCATGGACGTTTACACGGTTCAGGTTATATAGATGTGTTGCCGCACCTCGGTAGGTTTGAAAACTATGTGAGACAGGAATGGGTGTCTACACGTTATAGGTTATACTCTTGTGTTATTGGAAGTGTTATTGTGACAGTGCAGTTCTCAAAATTGCACTACCGATCATAGAGGGTGGCCTAATATGGATACGTAGA